ATTTGGGTATAAACATCGTCATTTCAGTTTTTTTGCTCTGTAGCGTTTGGTCGCGTTATTTGCTCCGATTAGTGCAACCGGTGCAATTTTGCCGAGTTCTTCTCAAACTTTTCAGTATCTAAGCTTATAAGTTGTTAATAACTGTCACAATGGATACTCATAATTGTCTTGCATGTGGGGATTTGTTATCAAAAGGTCCTCACTGCACAGTATGTAATCAAGAGCTACATTTTCACTGTGCTGGAATAACTGAATCTGGCTGTCACGAGCTGGGAGATAGGTAGTTTACCTCGCGATGTGTCGAGTGTAAGCAAACTCACTCTATCCAGCCTCCTTTATCACCAACGGTTGAATGCGATGCACTAATACTTAAGGAGATAAGAGCTCTCTCTGATAAACTGGCGCCATTAGAATGCCTTAAAGATGAAGTCACTGCCTTGAGAACTGAATTTGCTGATCTTGAATCTTCACTAAAAGACGGCGCTAAAAGAATTTAATGACAAAATTAAGGACTTCGAATAGCGTCTAGTACAGTTCGAGAAAGTACAAAAACGTGTTAAGCTTATTCAGATTCGGTTAGAAAAACTGGAGCAGGAGTCGAACTCTGCAGAGCAACGGTCAAGAATGAATAATGTTGAAATAAATGGAGTACCTGAGGCAAGTGGTGAAAATTTGATTGAAATCATATCTAACATTGGTTCTAAGATACAATATTCGATTACAAAGACTCAGGTAAATTTCGTCACAACAGTACCAAACCGTGACAAAGAGCATAACTAACCGATAATAATCTGTTTTTGCAATCGCTATGTGAAAGAAGATTTTGTAGCGGTAGCCAGATATGCATCGAAGACTAGTCATCTCACATCAGGCAACATGGGATTTGTGGGCAATAATAGCATTTACATCAATGACCACCTAACCAAGCACAATAAGACCTTACTTTCTAAAAGTAAAAAGGCAGCGATCGAATTGAATTTTCGTTATGTCTGGATCAAGCATGCCAAGATACATGTAAGAAAAACCGATACATCGCATATAATTATAGTGAACTCAGAAAGAGACCTTACAAAAATACACACAGGATTGACATATTTTGTTCAATTTCAAAAGCCTACCAAAACCAACATTTTCCCAACAGCCCATTACAGGACGATTCTCGTCTATCACATTGTCGCAAATTAAGCTAAAGATATTTACCCACTATCTTTTTTACCAGTACCTACAAACGAATTTTAATGAAACAGAAAACTTATTCTATATTAATGAAAAAAAGGTTATTTAATGATGCGGCCATACACTCATGTATACATACGCCTTATAATGATTGATTATACTTAGATTTATATAGAAAAAATAAGAAAAATGTGTAATGAGCATACAACTTTTTGACGTGGTAAAGCCATGCTGCAGCTATATTAATTGTATAGAAAAGAGGCATTCCATCTTAGTCCTCACGGCTGACAACGCATCTGCATTTTATTCGCAAACGAGGTTATATGTAGATGTCTATGCGTCACCATAACCACTTCCTATCAGGTGGACTGTGTACTCGCTTGTCACCCTTATCCTATAAAAAAAAACTTAAAATATTTTACATCAGACTTTAATAAGCAGCTTAGTGGCGCTGTGTTTCGTATTGTACGTACTATTTTACTTTGTATTTTATGACTATAGATAAATAAATATGTAGTTTATGACAATGCATCTACATTGTTACTCTTAAACGAGAATAGATGTAGATGTCTATTAGCCACAGCATCCACAATTGACTTAAAATATAATGACGTAGCATCCACTTACCAGCTGGGGGACTGTGTGCTCGTTTGTCACCCCTAAAGTTTTCAGAATGGAAGACGCAGGCATTCCTGTATTCCTGTATAGGACAGTTACTATAATCTTTGTGCAGGTAGTTGTGACTAGGGTTCGGCGTTGCGACTACGAACCGTTTACAAACATCCTTTTGTGTTGTGCAAGGACGAAACCATTTTACGTTCTGGGTTCAAATAATCTTCGTTGCACAAACCAATCTTCGAATTACTTGGTGCGATTTTTTATTTTACACTTATGAAAATACAGTCGAAAACGGAATGAGTCGCGTCGCGTTCCGCGTTATATAAAGACTGCATTTTGGTTCCACGTTCGTTTATAAACGTAGACAGAGACAAAACAGTCCTGACCTTAGTTGTAAGAAATTGCAGCCATTTCACTCGACGAAAACACAATTCTATTTCATGTTGGATATATGTATTTCCCATCACCATTTGTGACACAGGTAACACCAAAGAGAATATAATCACTACGTCAAAGAGTATAGTAACTGTCCTATACAGGAACTATGCACTACCTATAACGTACGTTTAAGATATAGTGTAGAGGACAAGGAGAACCATCTTATAAGGGGCGAAAGTTGAAAAAGTGTCCTACTATTTACTGAAAATAGAGGTTCCAAAACCTACCACAATAGCGCTGGCGTCTGAAAAACTACGATATGAATATAGCTGTTGTAGATGGAGTGAAGTCAGTTGAATTCAAATATTTGAGAAATTTCATGACTAGAGTAGTTAGTAAAATGCCAGTATACAAAACCTCAACTATTTACGTAGTACAAAATCAAACGGATAGGTCGGTACTTGTTTATTTCTCCATCTTATTCTAATTAATTTTGGCGCTTTTCTTTAATTTATCCTATGTTACTGCAGCGCCACCCTTATTGGACGCGTTTTTAGGGACATTTTTCTTATATAGAGATGGTCCTCCTTGTACTCTACACCATAGATAAATATATATGTAGCAAGCTACTCTACACTCCATAGTTTAAGAGGCCAGACTTCCATAGTAAAAGTAAATGTATCGGTATGAATGTACTCCAAGTTACTTTACCAACATCAAGATATGATATTTAGTTTTGACAAACAGTGCTGACAACATTGACGAATTACAATAGTGCTGTAAATGTCTATACTCGAATAATTTTATCGATATAACCTTTATCGATATATTGTTTATCGGTATTTTTACATAATAAAATTTGTGTGGGGATTGAGTAAAAATGCCGATGAGGATAAGAAATCTACAATTACACACAAATAATACAAACACTCACGCCTGTCACCCAGAGGGGTAGGCAGAGACTACGGACTTACATTTGGCGCGATCCTGACACACCTCTCTCGCCTCCTTTACATCCATATATCTACGCATACACGCTTTTCGGTTAAGGGTACTCCTAATCTGGCCCATTTTCAATGTATCCCCGATTTGGTCGATAAACATTCGTCTAGGGCGTCCATTCCCGACCCTGCCGTTCACTTCTGCTACATAAATTTGCTTTGTCACTCTTTCCTCGTTCGTTCTTTCTACATGACCAAACCACCGAAGCATTCCTTTCTTAATCCTGGTCACAACGTCATCTTGCAAACCACATTTTTCTCTTATCACACTATTTCTCACCCTGTCGTTCAGATTCAACCCTAGCATACTCCTTAATGATCGCATTTCTACAGCATTTATTCTACTCTCATGCTTCTTCTGCCAGACCCAACTTTCACTACCATACATTAAAGTAGGGACTAACACAGCATTATGAATTGCCATACATGCCTTATTTGACAAATTCTGACTCCTCATAATAGCGTGTAGAGCCCCATTCACTCTATTTCCTGCATTCACTTGTCGTTATATATCCTTATCATATCTACCATCCCTGCTAAATAAACATCCCAAATATACAAACTCATGCACTTGCTCAATCAAATCTCTACAATTATTAGGTACAAAAATATGTATAAAGAATATATAATACACAGTACAGTAGCGAGTTAACTTGCGAACATGGTGAGTTAAGTATTTAAAAAATCTCGTTTGAAAGGCAAGCAGTGAGTTAAGTAACAAATAAATAATTAAGTCTATTTTTCGGCGAGTCAGTTTCTAAGTGTTGTTCTTCCGCGCGTCCCCCGCCACGCGTATCTAAACGCGCCGCTCGTGTAAGCGAGCAAGTTTAGTGCAGTGTTTAAGTTGACAGGATTCAATGTGTTCGCGTTCAACCCTCAAAATATAAAATTGTACTTATTTTAAGTAAACTCGCCACGAAGACATTTGAACTCTACTACCCACTTAACAGTTTACTATCAACTGCCCTGTAACCAAATTCGTTACTGTACTTCATCGTTATCATTACAGTCCTCACAAATCCACTGCTGAACATAGGCTTCTCCCAAGGAATACCACAGCACGGTCCCGAGCCACCTACATCCATTGACTTTCTGCAGGTCGTCACTTCATCTAGTGGGGGGATACCCTACATTTCACCTGCCGGTACGAGGCTGCCACTCGAGAACCTAGATAATTAATAGAATCAGGCGTTACTTTGCGGAAATCTATTATAATGGGGTTGTTATAAATTAATTTGCTTAATTTCACGTAAAGAAAGAAAATGATTTGTCTTGTCCAGTTTTAAGGGGACCTCCCACCCCCCTCAATCGTGCGCACTATACCCGTCGCCGTCAATTTCAGCACTACCATCCCCAGCACCACCACACTACGAACGACACACCACTCTCGAAAATACAAAAGCATTTTTAAAACCCTATGAGAACCTTTTCACCATCGCTTGTCGGTTCTTCGAGCTCGAAGGCCATATGGCCGGCCCATTGCCACTCCAGCTCCTGTACTTATCGAAGTGTAAATCGGCCTTAACGCGCTCTATAGCTTGCTTATAAAAACTCTAAGGTCCGATCGGTCTGTTCGAAAGATGTTTCAGATCGATCTAAAAATCGCTTTACCAACCCCAAATAATCGATTTAATCGATATCAGATCGACATGCGATTAGTAACCTTAACATCCCTAATAAATGTGGTTTTACAAATTCGTTTGACGTTGCTTGTTTAATTTTTGCTTCTTTCGTTTTAACTGAAGTGTTAATATGATAAAAAGTAGTTTGTATGTCTTAAAAGAAAAGTGTTGAGATTACCTCTCGACTCACTGTATCACTGTTACCATGGAGGCTCCGTCAATGGACACTGTTTATCATGCTATCAGTGCTTTATATGATAACCCTAATGCAACTGAAAAGGAAAAAGCTTCTATTTGGCTCGGAGAAGTCCAAAAATCTGTAAGTTAATTACGAAAATTGTATTGTATTCACTAATAAACTGCTTACAAAACCTGAGTTGATGTACTTAAAGACAACTTATTAACATATTGTTTACGTGTTTTTTTAGATACACTCTTGGAAAATAGCAGATCAACTTTTACAACAGAAAAAAGATGAACAGTCCTGCTATTTCGCTGCGCAAACAATGAGATCAAAAGTACAACATAACCTCTCGGAATTGCCCTCAGAGGCTGTGGTATCTCTGAGAGATTCCCTAGTCGCTCATTTAGAAAATGCTTCATCTGGAACGAGTAATGCTATTCTCACGCAACTTTCTCTAGCACTTGCTGATTTAGCTCTACAAATGCAGTCATGGCAAAGTTGTGTTAGTGATCTTATTAAGTTGTTCTCACATAAAAATGAATTTGCATTGCTGGAAATATTGACTGTATTACCTCAAGAAATTGACTCGACAAACCTGAAGTTAGGGGAGAACCGTAGAGAAGAAATTAAAAATGAACTGAGAGCAAATTCAAATTTAGTATGTTTATTTCTTAAAGAAAGTATAACAACATCACAGAATTCACAAATTGCTTTGAAAATAGTTAAATGTATGACATCTTGGATACAAGTGAGAGCCATTAATATACAGGATGTTCCACAAAATGCAGTAATAGGTTTTTGTTTGCAAGTGTTAAGGGATCACAATTCAATAAATCTGTTGCATGATGCAGCTTCAGATTGTATATGCGCTTTATTACATTGTTTAGAGGAGAATAACAATAATGAAGAAATAGAGAGTTTGCTCTTTGATAGTGTTGCGTCTTTAGAGGAATGTTATCATATGGCAGTGGCTCATGAAGAGGAAGAGAAAGCTGTGAACTATGCTAAAGTGTTTACAGAGCTAGCAGAAACATTCCTTGAAAAGATTGTGTACTGTACTGCAAATGGAAGGGTTCATTTTGCGATGAGGTCCTTGGAATTAGCTTTAGTTTGTGTGGGACACCATGATTATGAGGTAACTCTTGTGTATCTTATTATATTTACTCTCTTTAATAAATAGGTACTCTCATTATGTTATCTTCATAAACCACAAATTATACAATTCACTTGGTAGAAGTGTTCTAGAATACATCTGCCGTGTAGTGGTTATCTTAAGAGAATCCACTACACTATCCCATATTTACATCCTGTGGCTGTCCTAAAAGGTAACTAAGATAAAAGAGAAACAGGAAATGGGCAACAGCATTTTCTTAACAACTCTAAATATTAAGAAACTGCCATTGCCAGTCTGTCTGCCAAGTGTTGCAATTATAGCAAATCTATGGGTTGGCCTATTTTCTCCATTTTGGCGTATATATCAGTTTTGTTGTATAACGACAGTAATTTTAAAAGCTCACTGTAAATATAGTGCTATCTTGTAATTTTCTGCCTGGAAATCTATGTGGTTATAACATTTAATGGTGCAAGTTAATTAATGGACTGTTTACAATTATTTTATATGATACAGATTGCTAATCCTACTTTTTCATAAAATTCTGTTAAAGACGTAAACGCATTCGTTTTAGCAAAATTTATTATTTGTTGATAAACATTTAATTTAAAAATTATTTTTCCAGGTAGCAGAGATAACTTTCAATCTTTGGTATCGATTATCTGAAGAAGTGTACCAGAGAGATCAACAGCCTCTTACAGATGCATTTAAACCTCATATAGAACGGCTAATAGAAGCCTTAGCCCGCCATTGCCAACTTGAGCCCGACAACACTAAACTTCCAGAGGAAGGTGATGAGTTCTATGTAAGTAAAACAAGAAATAAATAGGAGAATAGAATATAAAATATCGCCAAGAAGATTTATGATAATTTTTTTTTATTGGATATGGTAACAAACAAGCACACAGTCCGCCTGATGGTAAGTGGTTGCTGTGGCCCATAGACATCTACATTTATCCTCATTTGCGAATCAAAATGCAGATGCGTTGTCACACGTGAGGACTAATATAAAATGCCTCTTTTCCAGTGAAAAGGGTCTCTGGTTGTCTACACTCACCCTACGAAACACAGCAGTGTTAAGCTGCTATTTGACGCTGGTATTCTGTGAGAGCGTGGTCCCTAATTTTTCATTACTTTCCACACTAGGGAAACCTGTATCACGGAGGCCATACAAGAATTACCTATGAGTAAACTTGTCGGTTTAATGTTGAATGAAAGTGGGGTAAGGTGATAAAAGAATTATAGAATAGAATCATATTTATTCAATATAGATTACAAAAATACTTATTGAAAGTCATTTAAGCTTTACCATTGGAAAAAATCCTCTGTCCTGGGAAGTACCAGCAAGAAACCCAGTGAGACTTTTTTCAAAAGCATAATTTACAATATAACTGCCTAAATACTCAAACACTACTCAACTTTAAGAAGCTGTTAAGTATAATTAATAGAATCAGGCGTTACTTTGCGGAAATCCATTATATAAAATCTTTTAGAATAATTTACTTTGCAAATATCCGCATTATAAAATAAAATGATGTGTCTTACCTAGTATGAAGAGCACCTCCCGCCCTCCCTCAATTGCGTGCACTATCCTCGTCACCACTAATCCCAGCACCGCTACTCCCAACACCACTACACTAGGCAAGACACACCACTGACGATAATACGACACGTGTTTCACCTCTACACGAGGCATCCTCAGGTGATATAGACTCTACGGTGGCTAACCGCTAAGAAGTTAAGTTAAGCTGTTAAGTCTTGTGCTATCTCTATCACTTTAAGTTAATGTGACTGTGACACCACGAGACTTAAGGACATTGTAAAATTAAGTAGTGTTTGGGTATTTGGCCAGATTATGTACAATTAATATGAAAATTTTAAAAAACAGTATGGTATTATTATCTCATTCCCAGGCCTTATTATCAATCATGTACTCTTCAGTAGTGCAATAACCCTTACTAAACAATTTTTGCTTAATAATAATTTTAAACTTTTTGATAGATAAGGCCTGCATATTTTTTGGGACTTTGTGTATAAAAGCGTATACATTGCCCGATGGAGGCATTACTGAAACTTTGGAGTCTAATAACTGTATAACTAACTTGTGCTTGTTCCTAGTATTTACAGAATGCACATCAGTATTTTTAATAAAACTATTTTTGTTTATGTGTATATGTCATTTGTTAGTCAATAATAATTACAGATGTTTCATGATAAAAATTATAATCATTCGCAGTAATTATAATTCAAATTTTGCCTTCCAGGACTTCAGGATGAAAGTAATGGAACTGATCAAGGATGTAGTATTCATAGTTGGCTCGAGTGCAGTATTCAGACAGATGTTTGCGGCATTACAGGCAGACATATCATGGGAGCAAACTGAAGCTGCTCTTTTCATAATGCAGGCAGTTGCAAAGAATATTCTGCCGTAAGTAATTAAAATGATTCTGCGTCATATCCCCTCATGCACAAATGTTATTTTATATTTTTGTTTACATTGTTCGTAGAATGAGCTACCACAGAACATTGTTGACGCTCCTCAGTAAACAGTGTTTAAGATTAATTGGACAAGTCGTTTAAAAAACACTCCTGGATAGTGCCAGTGGCTATACATACACACATATTGTGCAACACAGTACAGTAAATGTAAAAGCAATATTAAAACCAATAAAGAATATTCCAATGTAGATATAGGCACATCAGCCAATAGGCTGCTAGTCTATTTAGCATTATTATTATCATTACAGCCTATTAAAATATTAATTGCTAAACAGAGCCCTTCCTCATAGATTAGGGGGTATATTTGCCATAGTTGCCACACTTCGCAGGCGGGTTGGCAACTGCAGTTTTATAATTTTAAGTTGTTTAGGAAGATGCTGCTGCCATTGCCTGTTTCAGTTTTTCTCTGGCGCCTCTTATGACGCCTACAGTATAATATGGGTTAGTGGTTATTCTTCACCGCTACCAAATGTTTATTAAGTATAGTGCAAGTTAAGTGCACAATAATAGTAAATGTCATAGCAGTATGTTAATAGATATAATGAAATATATATTTTTTCAACAATTGTGCCGTTTTGTGCAGTGTTATTTCAAATTAAGAGAAGCCGCTTCACCCCATAACATCGATTGGGTGTGGTCAGAGGCCACAAAGGGAATCTCAAACAGGAGATGGGCAGTAGCTTCTTCCTAATAACTAGATGAAGTATGATAAAATTCTGCAGTTGTAAACGCAGTTGCCAACCATTGCAACTATGGTAAATATCACCCTATATGTGGACTTGTGATGGGCTTTAACAGATAGATGCATTCTTCAACATGAGAAATGTCATTTTCTATACCTCAAGTAATAAGGGATCAAAAATCAGATGCTAAGAAAGATACCAAACAATAGGAAGGCTATATTCAATAATACCTTATTTTGCCTGAGGATGTGCGTACACATATTTGCTTAATGGGCGTAAGAAGATTTTGATTTTTGTCAGATTTTACTGACGAAGACCATAGGGTATTCTGGTTCCAGTAGTTATCTTGGTAATACATAAACATATCTATTTTTCCCAGCCACCCCTTGCAGCCCATCGTCTAGATAGGACCTCCCTCTTGTCTTCTCACAATCATACCTTCCTAAAAATCTCTATCTCTACATGGTAGAGCCATGCTGCAGTTATATTATGGTGGTAGCACTAATGGGTCGGCGCGACGGGGGTGACATGGTAGCCATGCTCTCACAGAATACCAACGTAAAATAGCAGCTCAATGCTGCTGTGTTTGCTATGGTCAGTGTAGAGAACCAAAGACCCTTATTACTGGAAACGAGGCATTCCATCTTAGTTCTCAGGGGTGGCAATGCATCTGCATTTTGATTATTAGTCAAGGATAGATGTAGATGTCTATGGGCCGCTGCATCCACTTCATCAGGACTGTGTTCCACTTACCCTATACCGTGTCACCCTTATTCTATAAAAAAAATTCTATCTGTACAATGGATACTTAAATATCTCAATGGATACTATACCATAAAAAGAAAGAAAATTGTTTATGTTTTTATTATATGTACAGATTATTAGTCACATTAAGGCCTTTGCCATGATGGGTGCCTGATATTTTATCAAGTTCTTGCTGATTATTGTTTCTTCTTTTAACTGCTTGTAGATGCTGTGTATCATATATAAATTTATGTCTAAAATCATAGATAGTTTCCAGACACCAAAATCAAAATAGTCATACTGTAATGTAAGTGGCGTAAAAAAGTCACTAATAACTAAAATATTTTAAAAGTCATCTTTTAACCCTTAATATTGAATTGTTTTATAGTGTTGGTTAGAAATATTTAGGTGCTGGTTGCTTTTTTCTTTCGAATTGTGGATCTGAGGGAGTTGAAAGAGCTTTGAAGTCAATTTTGCCATTTTTCCTTCTGATAAATTATATATGAGAGATGGTAGATATAATTATATTATGTTGACTGATAATATAATACTATGTCTCATTTGAATAAATAATATAACAGTAATAATTGCAATTTGTCAAATTAAGAATACCTCCATCTATCAGGCATATTTTAGTAGGTGGAATATTTATAAACTAACCATGAAGATTACGGCGTCTTTTTTATAATAATAAAAATATTGGTAATGCTAATAACATTGTTAATATTCCCTTTAACCATTCCTAGTAAGCTTAAAATGCTTGTTAAGAGTGGGTCACGACAGTATTCGAATGGTGGATCCCACGACCTTTTTAAGTTCGTGGCTCGCACCCTGCCATTAGGTTACTGTTGCATCACTGTTGCTGTTTTATATTGCCAATCCGTCGAATGAATAATTTCATTAATTTTTAATTTTTTTATAAGGGATGAAGAGGAGTATGTGCCAAAAGTGGTAGAGGCGATTCTATCGATGCCAGAGAATAGCCACGTGGCGGTGCGGCGTACGTGCATTCTGCTTCTGGGCGAGCTATGCGAGTGGGTGGAGCGGCACCCGAGCTGCCTACAGCCGTGCCTGCATACGCTAGTGCGCGCGCTGCAGCATCACAGCTTGGCGCCGGCCGCGGCTACAGCGCTCCAGGTACCTCAATTGTTCATTTTTCACTCTCTATATCTGGTTCGAAAGACCAGTGTTTGTGACGTCTTCAGCAGTCTTTTCTGAGAATGATACATGATAGATAAGTTACTATAATACATTATCATCATTGTAATGTTAATGTACGTATGAGGCTTATACTTCAAATTACACTGTGCTTTACACTTATCCAGTGTGTGTTGTATGGGGTTATTGTGGTGGAGTGAGCAGAGTGTGCTATGAGCTACAAGTTGTATGAGTTTCATGTGGGCTATAATTTTATGTTACTGGGTATTGTGTTAAATAGAAATAGAATAGAATTATTTTTATTAAATTAACACCACAAGAATACTTATTGAAAGTGATATAAACTTTACTATTGTTTTGGAAAAAACTTTTTTCTTGGAAGAAACCAGTATGAAATTTAGTGGCTGTTTAAAAAAATTTACAGTAAAATATTTTATACAAGTAGTATGACAACATTTAGAAATAGTATGTTAGCGATCATTTCGTTTTCAGGGGTTATTATTAATTGTGTAATATTAGTATTGTAATAATTTTTACTGAATAATTTTTAGTGGGGGCCGTCTTACGCTTCGCTTACTGGTATGAGACTGTCATTCGAGAATCTTTCTTCTGCATCAATTGTCGGCTTTTCGACCTGTCTATTGTCACTATAGCTTATTAATTTGTAGAAGTGGTAAAAGGAAAGAAGGATGGAAAGGGTATTCGTAAAGTGTAGGGTGGTCCCCTGTTAAATGGAGTGACGACTTGGTAAGACATACAGGAAGTTGATGAATACAGGTGGTTTAGGACTGTGTTTTGTGGCATTCCTTGTGGGAGGTCTATGTTCAGTGGTGGATTTGTGAAGAGCTGTAATGATGATGATGTAATAATAACGTGTGATTCTATTATGATGAAAGAATTTAGCTAGATAAAAATTTGAAATGTTTTGATAGGTGAGGCTTGAACGTTTGGTGATAATATAATATGTTGATGTGATTGTGTGGCGCAGAGCATCTGCAAGGCGTGCCGCGCGCAGGCGGCGGGGCACGTGGGCACGCTGGTGGAGGCGGCGCGCGCGGGCGAGGCGCTGGGCGCGGGCGCGGGCGCCACGCTGCTGCGCGCGCTGGCCGCCGCGCTGGGCGCGCTGCCGCCGCACCAGCTGCCCGCAGCGCTGCAGCACGCCGCCGCCGTGCAGCTGCAGCCGCTGCGCCAGCTGCTGCACGCGCCCGCCCATGACATGACCAAGGGCACGCGCTCCGACCCCGTGCTGTGGCTCGACCGCCTCGCCGCGCTCTTCCGCGACGTCGACGTGCCACCCGCCTCCGTCGCCGACCCGCACCCCTGCATGCCGGCGCTCAACGACTGCTGGCCGGTGATACGCGATGTTATGAAAAAGTTTGTATATCTTATAATATTCCTACCATATTTTATTTCGATAATGAAACAGAGAAAAAAGTGTGTATTAAAAATAAATCTGTAAATAAACTTTATTTGAAATATATCCAAATAATCACTACTTTATTATACAAAACTTAGAACTATTCGTCGATCAGTTTATTCTTTGAAAAATCTGTCAAAATTATAAAACATTTTAAATAACTCTAATAAACATAAAATTACAAAATATATCTTACTGTTAATCAATAGTAAAATAGAAACAAAAAACAAATAACAATGTTATATATCAAATGAAAAATCGAAAGTGCATTGCTTAAACCAAATGGTTTTCCCTATCACATTGAAACAACAATCATTTATTACCTTTACAACCATTTTACACTATAAAAATAATAAATCTTTCTATGCCACTAAAGCAACACCACTTAAGGAAGAAATGAAATATTTATTTGTGTTATAGATTTTATAATGTGAGAAGTAAATTTGTCAGATATATAGAGATTAATAGTTAATAGAATCAGACGATACTTTACGGAAGTCCATTATATTAAAGTTAGTAAAAAATTACTTCGCATGGATACACACCTCAAAAATTTATATGTTTTTATATGTTTTAAATTATAAGCACCAACTCTCAAATAAAAAAGAATCATGCAAATCGGTTCATGTAGAAAAAAACAGTCGAATTGAATACCCCCTCCTTTATTTGAAGTCGGTTAAAATGGTAAGTATGTAAATTATCTGAGTTTCAAAGACGTTGACGTTGTTATAATCTTAATTTTTCTCGATGTTGCATGTTAGCCTTCCTCATATTGAACAATATTGTTCTTATTATCAGCAAATTAGTAATACATTGCATAACACCTCGGTGTATTCTACTACCAACTAATATCAAAGGATTCAATTTGTTTTCTCACAACACCTAACCCTTTTTTTTTATAGGATAAGGGTGACAAACGAGCACACAGTCCACCTGATGGTAAGTTGTTGCTGTGGCCCATAGACATCTACATCTATCTTCGATTAATAATCAAAATGCAGATGCCTTGTCACCCATGAGGACTAAGATGGAATGCCTCGTTTCAAGTAAAAAGGGTCTCCGGTTCTCTACACTCACCATACGAAACACAGCAGCGTTAAGCTGCTATTTTACGCTGGTATTCTGTAAGACCATAGTCATTCACCGGTCGAGTTGATCCATTCGTTCTACAACCATAATATAGCTTCAGCATGGCTCTACCACGTAAAAACCCTACAGAAGGAGCGGCCTTAACAATGGTGCGTAACGGTCTAAGTGATACAGACGCGGACGTAAGGTGCATTTTGAATTAACACGCGCGCTGCATTAATTTTTTTCGACGATTTAATCGGTAGGCTATTTTAAAGAAGGTCGTATCCGAGTAGAGCAAAGTATTAAAAACATTAGCGACGTTGTAAGTAGATTTAAATTCGCAAGTCTGCTATCGGAGAGTGATCTTTCTGTTCTTGTACTATTATTTATTCTGTGCTAAAAGTAAGTGTAAGCTGTGCTTCAGTGTGAACTGTTGCTTAAGGAAAGGGATGATAATGAAAGGGAAATAATTAGCATAATTGCCAAAAATACACAATTGAAATGTGATATGGTTAAGCTACATACAGAATACACAAGTGTTATAAAAGAAAGAGATCGGCTACAGGGAACGGTTAATGAGTTTGATCAATGCAGCAAGGAATATGAGGAAGCTCTCAGGTTAATTGCTGCATTGAAGTTACAGTTGAATGAGGCTAATGAGCAAATAACACAATTTAAAACATATATAGATAACCTTAAAGCCTCCCAGACTCAAAGCCTGTTCTCTGAGCTTGTGCAATGTGATACTTCAAGAATGTTACAGCAATCTGCAACAATAGACTTGACTGGTGACGACTCTTCCACTTCAGGAAATACAGTAAGGATTAATTGCAGTAAAACCAAATTGAAGAAGTATATAAAAGTTAATAAATACATAAGGAAAATACAAAAATTAATAAGAAATAAGATTAATACCAAAAATTATGTTAATGTATGTAAAGAAAAGCAAGCATTGTTATATGAACTTAAGTTGTATTCAATTGAGGTGGATAACATATAAAAATGTTATGAGACTGAAATAGAGTGCCTTAAATCAGAAATATTGTCACTTATGAACTCCCTTCAAACTGTGTCCAATAAATATAAATCAGCCCAAAATGAAATAAAAGAACACATATTGGCTATGGATAATCTGGTAAAGACTTGTAAATATAATGAGGAGCGGTTTGACTCCTTAGTTAAATATCAATGTGAGTGTCAGCGCTCAATGCCAGATTCTTCAAAGTCAGTGTGTGCTGATAATATTATACCACCACAAAAACTCTATGACAGTGCCATAGCAGAGGATATTAAAATAATAAATAACTCAAATATTACTAAAAATAATATAATTGTTTATAGCGATGACATGGGAAAAAATCTAGGCATAACTTTAAATAACTCTTTAAAGGGACAAAAAGTTACAAATTGCTGCATGCCTGGAGCATCTTTTAGTGACATCCTAAATAAAATTATTGTTACTAAATTTTGCCCAAATAGTACAATAATAATTTTTGTTGGTAGAAGAGGCAGTGTCAACAACAAACAGTTATTAAGATATATTGAACAACTTAATAACTTAAATGTACACAAAATTGTCTTGTTCACACTGCCTTATATACAGGGATTGCCACAAGAAAATAATTTAAGACATAATTTAAATATACAAATGCATAATTTAATATGTAATAATAATTTAAATTTGACATATAATTCTAATGATAATAATCATAAATTTCATGTAATTGACATAAATAATTTAATAAAAAAGTTTTGGACAAAAGATAGGTATTACCTATCCAAATATAATTTAAGACTGATAGCAAATGTGCTATCTTATTATTTACTTTTTAACTCAGCCAAGTTTTTGGCTACCAAGACTGCTTTTATTGAGCATAATCATTTGACATTTAATTTGGAATCAGTTCCAACTAATTTAAATTAGTGAATGTGACAATAGAGGCAATCTCTAGCAATAATAAGAGTTTAATTAATTTTGAATACAGCCCACAAATAAGTAATAAAAATTGTTTACACCTGGTGCATCAAAATATACAAGGCATGTTGGGCAAAGAATTGGAAGTTGAATTGTTTTTAAATAGTAACAATATACACATCCTTTGTATTACTGAACATTGGCTAAAAGATTATAATTTCATGTTTAATTTCAGAAATCACCAGGTGGTCAGTTCCTTCAATAGAGAAAAAAGTTTACGTGGTGGCTCCTTAATATTAGCAGATAAATCATTATTATATAAAGAACGTAAGGATATTGTGAGCCTCTCTGTTGAACGAACTGTAGAAATGGCTTGTGTCGAGCTCGAGCACCTCATTGTTGTAAGTGTTTACAGACCCCCATGTGCTACTTATGACCATTTTGAAAGGATTGTGGAAGAAGTTTTACTCAAACTTAGTAAACAGAACAAGTCTGTTGTAATGTGTGGAGACTTTAATATCAATCTCCTTGAAACTTCTTCCATTAGTATTAAGTTTAGCTCATTGTTTAAATCGTATAATCTTGTAAATTTATTCTTAGAACCAACACGTATTGCTGGGCCTAGTGCGACCTGTATAGATAACATTTTTACAGATGTTAAGCCCTTGCATAAATCAATTATTCAAAATTTAAGTTCAGATCACTGTGGACAGTTAGTATCACTACCTTACATACACAAAAAACAGAAAAATAAGAAAGTTGTGTTTGTTCCAATAAATGAACATCGCTTGGAGAGGTTTAGAAGTAATATAATAAAAAGACTTCCATCACTTTTGTTTAAAAATAGTGCTAATTATTTGTATGCTACATTATTTGAAATTATACGTTGTGAATTTAGTAGAATATTTACTTCTAAAACTTTCTCTTTTAACAGTCGCAAATCATTTAATGAATGGGCGACAGTAGGAATTTATAAAAGTAGGCGAAGGTTATACGAGCTTTATGATGAAAGATCATATAATAGTAGTGTTATATTTAGAGATTATGTAAAAACATATTCTAAAATATTTAAAAAAGTGTGCTCCACTGCTAAGGCTTTACATTTAAGCAACAAAATTAAAACTGCATCCGACAAAATTAAAATGACCTGGAGAATAATAAATAGTGAAACGGGCAAGGTCAAACCGCGCAACTCGGATTTTCAATTGAATATTAACAATAATTTAACGCGATCTGATCAAGAAGTTGCTATGGCTTTTGAGAAACATTTTACTGATGTTCCTTTTTTGACAACAAAATCATTAAATTCTTCTCCTACTGTCGCCGAATCATTGCTCAAACAAAATGTAAAGGCTTGTTCAAATACTTTTAAATTCCATAGGGTACTGCCAAAAGATATCGTTAAATATTTTAAAACTATTGATGTTAAGAAAACGGCAGACTTGTGGGGGATTTCCGTTAAAGTTATTTTATCTATAATAGATACATTAGCACCTTATCTAGCCACTATATTTAATATAAGCGTCGAATCTGGTGTGTTTCCTGATTTAATGAAACATAGTAAAGTCATACCTATATTTAAATCTGGTAGTACATTAGACCCCGCCAATTTTAGACCAATTTCTGTACTACCAACATTAAGTAAAATTTTTGAAAAAATTATTTTAGATCAGATGTTAAGTTTCTTTAATATTAATAAATTGCTACATAATAATCAATTCGGTTTTACAAGGGGTCGCTCGACAACTGACGCTGGAGTTGAGCTTATTAAACATATTTTTTGTGCATGGGAGAATTCAGAGGATGCTTTGGGTATATTTTGTGACCTTTCCAAGGCCTTCGACTGTGTTCACCATGAGACATTAATCAGGAAGCTACAGTACTATGGTGTCAAGAACACAGCGCTTAAACTTATTATTTCATATTTAAGTAATAGAAAACAGAAGGTTATTATCAATGGTAAAAGTTCTTCCGGGTCACCTGTACTAATGGGTGTACCTCAGGGCTCGATTCTCGGCCCATTCCTGTTTCTGGTGTATATTAATGACTTACCTCACCTTGTAGGGGATAGTCATGATATAGTATTATTTGCTGATGATACTTCCTTGATTTTTAAACTTAAACGTCAATCATTTAAATGTGACGAAGTGAACAATGCTATATCAAAATTAGTGCATTGGTTTAACGTTAATAATATGCATTTGAACGGAAATAAAACTAATTGTGTTAAATTTACAACAACGAATGTTCAAAATCTGAATACCAATGTGTTTTTAAATGGGGAGGAATTGAGCCCTGTTGTATCCACTGTTTTTCTTGGCATCACTCTTGACGCAAAGCTCCAGTGGGGCCCCCATATATCCAAATTAGCAAGCAGACTAAGTTCTGCAGCCTATGCTGTAAAAAAGATTAGAGGTCTCACTAGTGTCGAGACAGCTAGATTAGTTTATTTTAGTTATTTTCATAGCATAATGTCTTATGGGATTTTGCTATGGGGAAATGCGGCTGATTCAGAAACTATTTTTGTTTTACAGAAGAGGGCCATTAGAGCTATTTACAATCTAAAACCGAGAGAGTCTCTTAGAGATAAATTTAAAGAAATTAATATATTAACTTTGGCCTCTCAGTATATTTACGAAAATTTAATGTATGTTCACAAAAACAAAGATAGTTTTAGTAAAAGAAGTGATATACATTCTGTAAACACTAGGAACAAACACAAGCTAGTGATACCAGTTTCTCGACTCCACAGAGTCAGTAATTCATTCTTGGGGCAATGTATACGCTATTACAACAAGGTCCCGGAAAGTGTACAGGTTCTCTCTATTACCAAGTTTAAATGTTTTATTAAGCTGAAACTGTATAAAAAGGGTTATTATAGTATAAATGAATACATGGTTGATAATAACCCCTGGGAATGAGGTGATCGCTTCCAAGCAGTTTCTAAAATAAATTTTGTAAATAGTTCGTAATCATTTATATTGTAAAATTTATTTAAAAAAAAAGTCCCGCTGGGTTTCTTGCTGGTTCTTCCCAGGACAGAGGGTTTTTTTCGAACCAGTGGTAAAGTAAAAAATGACTTTCAATAAGAATTACACATGTAATGTATATTGAATAAAAAATATTCTATTCTATTCTATTCTATTCTTCTGCGTTTCGTCTGGTGAGTGCAACTGACCTGAGGCCCAATTCCCCCCCCCCCCCCCCCCCATCAACATGGTAGCGCAATTAAATCATAGACTACCTCAGGAGGATCCCAGCACCCCTGGGGAATCCCTCGCTGAGCATCCACGACCATGCTACTCCACTCCTGAGCGTGGGTGCTTAGGCTGCCCCGCGTATTTTGGGGGGGGGGGGGGCAAAATTCCGCTCAACACTATAACTGCTCGGGGCAAACTGAGCAACAAGATCAAGGCAACCCCTGCCACGCTATCCGTGAATTTCTGCAACCATCACTAACTTCACTTGAACCTAAACGCCGTCCACTACCATCTCGAGACGGCGAAGTCGGCCTTGCTCTTTCTGACCGAGACGCAGGTGTTCTCTTCGGCTGATACTTCGTATCTCTCCTACCCGGGGTACGAATTGGAACACTCCTTTGTGCCTCGGGAAGTTTGCGTATACGTCAGAGAGGACATCTGTTCTCGACGCCTCGGCAGTCTTGAAGGTTCGGACTGTCCATCCTATGGCTACGCGTAGATAGCGACGACCATCCGCTCGTCTACGGGTGCCTTTATAGGTTCCATAGCGGTAATGCCGAAACAGACCGACTCATCGACCACGTCCAAATGGCTACAGATTCCTTGCTACAACAGTTCCCATCCGCAGAGATCGTGATTTTAACGCCCACCACGTCTAATGGCTCGGTTCACGTTTAACCGATCATGTAGGGAGATCTGCTTATGACTTTGCCTTGGCATATGGTCTGACACAACTGGTTACTTCACTTACGCGGATTCCAGATGTGTAGGATCATACACCTTCCCTGTTGGACCTTCTGCTGACCTCTCATCCGGACGGATATCAGGTTTCCGTCGATGCCCCTCTCGGTTCTTCGGACCATTTTCTGATCGGGAGTGTGGTGCCACTCACGCTCCCCTCGCGGTTGTGTTCTGCAGGTTTCCGCCGTGTTTGGCATTACAGGTCGGCGGATTGGGACGGAATGCGGTCTTTCTTTGCATCCTACCCATGGAGGCGGGTTTGCTTCCCGCCGGATGATCCCAGCGTTGTTGCTGACTCTGTTACTGACGTGGTGTTACAGGGAATGGAACTATTTATTCCATCATCTGTGGTACCTATCGGAAGCAGATCTCAGCCTTGGTTTGGTCGCTCCTGTAAGACTGCATTACGCAGTAAGCAGGAGTGTTATCAAGCCTGGGCTGCGGCTTCGGCGACTCGGGATGTAAACACCAGCATACTTAAAAAGAAGTATAACTTTGCCTCCAGGTCCTTCAAAAGAGTTATTGCCAAGGCAAAGTCAGAGCACATAGGCAGAATTGGCGAGAAACTAGTTCGCCTTCCTTCGGGAACCCGTGCATTCTGGTCTCTCGCCAAGGCTGTCCAAGAGAATTTCTGTAAGCCATCACTACCATCTCTGCACAGGGAGGACGACACACTGGCCCACGCCGCAAAAGAGAAAGCCGACCTTTTAGGCTCCCTTTTTGCGTCCCACTCGACTCTTGATGACGGGTGGAAAACACCGCCGACCATTCCGCGGTGTGAGTGCTCCATGCCGGATGTGCGGTTCTCACAGCGCTCGGTTTGCAAAGCACTCCTCTCCCTGGACATCCAGAAGTCGAGTGGGCCTGATGGAATCCCACCAATTGTGCTGAGGACGTGTGTTTCGGAGTTGGCACCGGTCCTAACGCGTCTTTTCCGGTACTCCTACTCCCTAGGTGTAGTCCCGAAATCATGGATGACAGCTTTTGTCCACCCCATCCCTAAAAAACGCGACCGCTCAGACCCGTCTAACTACAGGCCTATCGCCATCACCACCTTGTTCTCCAATATAATGGAATCCATTATTAACTGCCAGCTCATCCGGTACCTTGAGGATCACCAGCTGATTAGTGACCGCCAATACGGTTTTCGTCGGGGTCGATCAGCTGGTGATCTTCTGGTCTACCTGACTCATAGATGGGCGGAGGCAGTAGAGTTCAAGGGGGAGGCGTTGGCCGTTAGTTTGGACATTGCGAAGGCCTTCGATCGGGTTTGGCACAAAGCGCTTCTTTCGAAGCTCCCTTCCTATGGGCTTCCCGAGAAATTGTGCAATTGGATCACCAGTTTCCTTGCAGATCGGAGCATCAAGGTCGTTGTAGACGGTGCATGCTCGGACTACAAGCCTATTAACGCTGGTGTTCCACAAGGCTGTGTGCTATCACCAACGCTGTTTCTTCTGCATATCAATGATATGTTGCTAACTGATAACATTCATTGCTATGCGGATGACAGCACTGGTGATGCTCTATACACCGGCCGTGCCAATATTTCTCGGGAAAACGTCGCCGAGTACCGGAACAAACTTGTGTCTGAAGTAGAGTCTTTGCTGAACAAAGTCTCGGATTGAGGGCTAAATTTAGTTCAGTTTAATCCTCAAGACACAAGTTTGAGCGTTTACCGCTAAAAAGAACCCCTTTGTCGTATCTCATCAGTTTCAAAGCACTCTCCTTCTTGCCTCAGCCCGTATCGGAATCCTCGGAGTCGACATATCGAGTGACGTGCAGTTTCGTGGTCACTTGGAAGAGAAGCCAAATTGGCCTCTAAAAAGCCTGGCGTGCTCAGCAGAGCGGGACAGTATTTCATTTCGGCACACCGCCTGCAACTTTACAAGGCGCAGGTTCGGCCTCACATGGAATACTGTTCCCATCTCTGGGCAGGGGCTCCCTTCAGTGCCAGCTCCTTCCACTTGACTGCATCCAGCGCAGAGTGGCCCGAATCGTGGACGACCGAGTCCTTTCCGATCGGCTCGATTCACTGGCGCTGCATAGAGATTTTCATCCCTTTGCATTTTTTTTCGTATTTACCACGGGGAGTGCTCTGAGGAATTGTTCGGATTAATCCCAGCCGCCAAATTTCACGAACGCACATCGCAGCAAAATTCCCGATACCATCCACACCATCTGGATGATTGACAGTCCACCACTGTGCGATTTAGAAGATGTTTTCTTCCTCGCATAACTCCCTTGTCGAATCAATTACCACCAGCGATTTTTCCGGACCGATACGACTTAGGGACCTTCAAGAAAAGAGCCTACTCCTTTTTTAAAAGGCCGGCAACGCATCTGCAATTCCCCTGGTTACCCTGGTGTTGCGGTTGTTCATGGGCGGCGGTAGTCACTTACCATCATGTGAGCCGCATGCTCGTTTGCCCTCTCTCCTATATAAAAAACAATGCTTGGCCATATTATGTTAGTGGTCGGTTAACCCGATGCGTGATCGTGAACAGGTGGGTGTCAGAGGGTCGCGTGATGGAGCGCGCGTGCCGTTGCCTGCGGTTCGGGCTGCGCGCCGCGGGCAAGAGCTCGGCGGCGCTGGTGCCCGAGCTGTGCGAGGTGCTGCCGCAGCTGTACAACGAGCGGCCGCACGGCTGCGTGCTGTACCTGTGCGGCGTGCTGTGCGACACGGTGGGCGGCGCGGGCGGCGAGGCGCTGCTGGCGCTGCTGCTGGCGCTCATGCCGCGCGCGCTGCAGCTGCTGCAGCCGCCCGACGGCCTGCGCGACAATCCCGACACCGTTGACGACCTATTCCGCCTTTGCATACGGTACTGTGCCCATACACTTCCTCACTCACAAACTCGCTAGCTATCTCTCCACTTTACTAGCTATCTCACCAACTCACTGGCTATCTCACCAACTCACTAGCTATCTCATCAACTCACTCTATTACTCCCTCTCCCACTTACCTACTCACTTATTCACTCATTTGCTCACTAACTCACCAACTTACTCATTCACCACTCACTCACTAATTTAGTCATAAATTACTCTTTTGATCACTAATTTACCAAATTAATCACTCATCAACTTACTTTTAAGCATCTCACTCGATCACCAACTTACTCATTTACCAAATCATTCAATCGATCATCAACTTACTCACTCACCAACTTACTTATTAAAATACTCACTCACTCCTTACAACTCCTCACTCACACCTTACAACTCCTCACTCACACCTTACAACTACTCATTCACACCTTACAACTCCTCACTAATTTCTACAGTCTGCATACGGTACTGTGCCCCGTTCCTTACTCATTCACCAACTCGCTCACGGCCTAGTAACTCTCTCTCATACAATAACTTTTGTCTCTACAAGAGATTGTGCCTCATTTGCTCGCACACTCACTTAATACCTCATAAATTAATAACCTCGTGCATACATCCTCTATCTCTATTATAATATCATATCCCACTCGTATATTATTGAAAACCTTTTTTGTCTCTACATGCATCATAGCAACTTTTTTCAAACCTTTTTAACTTACATTTCTTTCGAATGTTATTGTGGATCCATGTTAAATTGCACCAACGGGAGACCATCGACAGTTGCTTACTACCAACATTATATCCTAAATTGGATGCGATTTGTGACGTATTTGTAAGAAATATTTGTGGATTTTATTTGTATTTTTTTATGTAGAATATTATTGTTAAAAATAATAGTAACTGCTTCCTGGCGCTGTGGCTAAGCAATGAGTTGCAAAGCTGAGGACCACGGGTTCGAATCCCGCTCGTAATAAGTATTTGTACGGCCTACAAATTATTGTTACGAGCCTGAATGTTTGTTGTATGAGGCGATAAAGGGAAACCGAAATAGGTCATGGACAACAGCATTTTCCTGGCAACAACTCAATATAATAAAAAAATTTAAGAGTTCATGGGCAGCAGCATCTTCCTGATAACAACTCAAAGTAATAAATACTGCGGTTGCCAACCCGCCTACCAAAGGTGTGCCAAGCGGGTTGGCAACCGCGAATAACAACCGCGAATATTATGAAATTGTGCAGTGTTACATTTTAAGAAATGAAAGTTTACGTAGCGCGCAAAGTGATTCTTTACCGTGGCATGAAATTAACGTACATACCAATCGAAGAACGATTGGAATATTTATATAATTACACTAGAATAGTGTGCAGTGAGCGATAATTTAAATAGTAAATATGAAGATAGGTAGATTGCGCATATACTATGGCCTATAGGCCTGCAAACTCGCCAGTCCTTTCACCGTTAGTCTTTTATATGTGGGGTAAAATAAAGAGTTGTTTACGTCACAGAGGCCCTAAGTTATGAAGACTGCCGCAACAAAATAAATAGTTGCATTCACTAAAGTTAAAAGTGCTCCAGCATAGGTAATAGGTGTAAAAAATAATTTAAGAAAACGTATTCGTATATGCATGGAGAGAACTGGATTTCATTATGAGATACCAATATTAATTATTGGGACTGCTTGCTATACTAATTTAGTTGTAAATAGTTTATTCCAACTTTTTAAATACGCCATAGTAATGATAGTCATCGGTTACGTCGGTGATAAGTAAATATATTATTTTTAATTTAATTTACTGTGACGATCCTAAGTCTGTTAAAAATGTGAAGGAAAAATTGGAATCATAGTTTGTGACGTGTAATTATTAACATAAGCATTAGTGAGTAGCAAGGAAATAGTAAGCGTATCACCAAAGATTAAATAATGTTATGTATTACTTAAGTATCACTAAGAAAGTAAACTGTAAGAAAAAGCTTTGAGAATTGAATAGCACACATACGAGCGCGCGTAGTACGCGTAGTTGGGCAATAAATCACATTCAGTTTGGAATAATTTCAAATAACATTAGCCTTATTTACTCGTATTTAAAAAAAAAACTGCAATAACAGTATATATCTGATACGGCCTACGGCTACCCCTGCAAAAGTAGGCTATCCCGGGGCCCAAGCAGGAATTCTACGGGCAGACGCAGGTCGGGCCTCTAAAGGCCACTGGGAAATACCCTATCACAATCAAGGGGGAAGGCCAGTTAACGGGAAGGCACTTACCTGCTTCGGGAGCGGAGACTGTTCACCAGGATCTGCCCGGCTGATGAAAGTGTAGTGAGTGTAGGTGGTATTTGTGTGAGACTGTGTGTAAGTGGCCTGGGCTAGATGACACGATGCTGTCCTCGAGAAGGTATTCTCTTGTAGCCCCGGAACAATTCCCTTCTTGAGGCACTAGTTCAGTCTATTCACGTAATGGTACAGTCAAAAAAAGGACTTCAAACGAAATCTCTATATAAATTGCACGATTACTTTAACCGAAGTAAATAAATCCGTAAGGAACAACACGTGTTCCCGCCAACGACAGCGGTACTAGTTTTAACTCCGTTCGTGACAAAAATTAATTAATAAAACAAGAAACGTCCGTTCAGATCACAAAAGTTTACACTAACGAGGCGTGTCCGGTCAGCCGGCTCGAAAGGAATGTCGGCGCGGGGGGGATGTGACCTCGCTACTGTGCGAAGTTATTAACGAGCGATTATAACACAATTCTCAAAATATTTAATATTGGCCTAAACAACCCCCTGCCCCGGACGTAAGGAATTATGTCCGCGAGTAGATTGGCAAACGGGACAAAGTCGCGACGGCACGTTGCAAGACCGAATCTCCGACCAAAACCTCGGCCACCCTAGGCACCCCATCCGATCCATACGACAACTTAACAATGCGCCCCCGGCGCGGTTACAAAGGCAGAGCGTTGGGTTTTTTTAACCAACACGAGGTCTCCCACCCGAGAAGGATCCGTTTTGTCAGACCACTTAATGCGCTGCTGCAAAAGATGTAGGTACTCCAGAGACCATCGGTGCCAAAAGCTCTGAGTCATCTGTTGCAGCAGGCCAAACCTGCTCAACCGCGATGAGTTCGTTTCCTTGAAGGGGTACTCGGGCAGAGCGTTAAGCGGCTGGCCAATCAGGAAGTGTCCCGGGGTTAGAACCTCCAAATCATTCGGATCGGACGAGAGGGGACAGAGGGGCCGAGAGTTGAGTACCGTCTCAATTTTACAGAATACAGTGGCGAGCTCCTCAAATGTCAAAATGGTTTCACCAATAACGCGACGGAGATGCGTTTTTGCAACTTTAACCACCGCCTCAAAAATACCGCCCCAGTGGGGACACGCCGGAGGATCGAATTTCCACTGGATGCCCCTTTTTGACATCGCATAGCCTAAATAAGTCCGGTGGCTGGACAGAAGTTCCGCAATCCGACCGGATCAAGTCCGGCAAACCGCGCCGCGATACGAAACGGCCCAGCGTGGCCAAGAAGGCTTCCGTGCTGAGGGCACTTACAAGTTCCAAGTGAACGGCCTTAGTGGAGAGGCACACGAAGACGCAAAGATAGGCCTTATGCGAACGCGCGTTACGAAGGTTAGAGGACTTGACGAGAAAGGGGCCAGCAAAGTCTGTTTCAACTCCAGCGAATGATCGGATGGCCCTGACGCGGTCGGGCGGCAAGTCACCCATCATAGGCTGCGATATGGTGGCCTTCAGTTTATAACAGGATATGCACTTAAAGATGTCGCTCCGAATGGTGCGTCGGCCAGCCAAAATCCAAAACTCCCGCTGCAGAATAGCCGAAAGAGCGTTACACCCAGCGTGGGCGTTCTTAATATGATGGTGGGTTACCAGCAACCAGACAAAGGCGCCGTCCTTGGGGAGCAGAAGCGGGTGTCTAGACCCGTACGGCAGTTGAGAATTTCTCAAACGTCCACCAACGCGCAGCATCCCAGCGTCGTCCAGAAAGAGGTTCAGGCGGGCCAGAGCGCCCTTGATACCGGAGCCACGCTTCAAGTTTTCAATAACGGGCTCAAAATGCTCCGTTTGGACCATACGGGTCCAATTCATCAAAGCTTCACGACGCTCGCTAGGGGACAAAACGCAATCAGAGAGTCGGTTGGACGGGTCTCTCGAATTGCGGACAAAGCGGCGCAACCAAGCAGTCAATCCTAAGAGCTTGTCGAGAGAGCTGTACCGTTCCAGAAGAGAAAGATCCCGATTGGGCTTATCCTTGCCCACTGGGCCTACGAGCCCGAGTAGGAACTCGGGCTCGTAGGCCCGGCAAGTCGGTAGGTTTGGAGTAATTACCCTGGTGCCAGAGTGACTAAACTCAGATTACCAACCGGGACCCCACCACAGTGGGTAGTCAACTAGCGAGGGGGCCTCACAGCCGCGAGAAGCGCAGTCTGCGGGATTCAACTCCCCTGGGACATGTTTCCAGTTTATAGAAGTCTCAGAACTCCAGATTTGAGACACGCGATTCGTCACAAAGACTTCAAGATTGTGAGGTGCAGCTCTGAGCCAACAAAGTACTATGTCACTGTCCGACCATGCGTAGACGTCCGTAATGTCGATTACAGGCTTCAAGGACGAGTGAACGTGGTTGAGGAGTCGCGTGAGAAGAGCGGCTCCGGACAGTTCCAATTTAGGAATAGTTAAGCGGGACCTAATGGGAGCAACCTTACTTTTAGCGAGTACGAGATGGACTGCAGTATGACCAGAAGAACTCACAGTTCGCAGATATACGACGGCCGCATAGCCTTTCTCGGAGGCGTCGCAAAACCCATGTAGGGCAGCCCGGCACTTCCCTGGAGGGAGGAAGCACCTGATGTCCGGAAGGGAGGAGACCATGGAGAGCCACTCTCGCAAGAGGGCTCCGCTAATAGGCTCATCCCAACCCAACCCGGACATCCAGAGCTTCTGAAGAAAGCGCTTAGCCGAAAAGATGACCGGGGTGATCCATCCATTTGGACCGAAGGTGCGAGCTACTGTAGACAGCACGGAGCGCTTGGTCCATGCTTTGGGAGGGGGATCAAGTTTTACTCGATACGTGAAGGTGTCCTGAACAGGCTGATATTGAATGCCCAGCACAGTCAACAAATTAGGATTTTCAGGGTGCTCGAACAGATGAGGGTCTTGTTGATCCTCTCCTGGGAGGTCCTTCAAAATATGAGGGGAGTTCGACAACCACTTGCGCAACTCATAACCTCCGGACTTCAGGATGGCAATTAATTCGTCTCGCAATACAAGAGCCTCCTCGACGGTGGAGGCGCTCGTACAAATGTCGTCCATGGAGACCGAAGTCTCCAAAATAGAAGCTCCCCGAGCGCATCTTAGGCGCTCTATCTCAGCGAGTTCAAGGAGGGTTCGCATGGCGATATACGGGCTGGACTGGAGTCCATAGGTGGTGGTGTTCAACTTAAACACCTGTATAGGATCGCTGGGCTTCTCGCGCCACAATATCAGCTGATATCGACGGTCATCACGATGGACCACTGATTGTCGAAACATCATCCGAATGTCGGCTACAAAAACCACTTGGTGTCGACAGAATTGGGTCAAGATGTCGGATATGTCCTTGATCAGTTTAGGACCAGAGTGAAGACACTGGTTCAGGGACACACTATTTGACGTGGGGGCGGAGCCGTCAAAAACTACCCGAATCTTACTCTCAGGGGTCCTCAAGGCCGCATGGTGAGGGAGGAAGTAGTGCTCCTGTGAACGCCTTTCGAAGTTGGACGGTGACATGTGACCCTGCTCTTGATACTCGCGCATGAACTCGACATATTTGTCGTGAAAGGCTGGGTCGCGCCGCATGCGGCGCTCTATGGAAAGCAACCTCTTCTTGGCTAGAGCACGAGATTGACTCAAAGAGGGACGTGAGTCCAGAAAGGGTAAGCGAGTGACGAAACGACCGTCGACCCGCCGTAGCCGTATTGTTCTGGTAGAACAACTCGCACTCACGGTCCAGAGGATCGACTCGAGCTGCATGTGGTGGTTCCTCAATTTCCCAGAACCGCTGGACGGCGTCCGAAAGGGACACGCCCACAACGGAGAGCGGGTCGACCGTCGGAGGGGGAGGAGACCACATAACCGGCCCAAAGAAGCTGTGCCCAAATATCGTGGACATGGCTGACAAGCCATCGGGCTGCAGAGCTCGTATCTCACCTAATAAGATGAACCCCAGGGCGTCGGCCCCCAGTAACAAATCTATAGGACCAGGTTGGGACCATCGAGAGTCTGCCGTTTTCAAACCCGACGCACAGCGAATCGCGCCGTCGTTTATACGAACGTTAGGGAGAAACCCTACAATGTCATCGAGGACATTTACCTTGACTAAAATGTGAAGGTGTTCACTGGCAGGGCTGAACACCAACTCCGCTTGTCCCCTAGGAGCAGGAGGCTCGGCGCCTCCGATACCTACCAATGGGCGTGATTCAGAGCTCCAGGGGAGCTCCAGTCTTCCCACCAACCAAGTGGAGGCCACGCTACGTTGTGAACCCGAATCCAATAGAGCTCGAACCGTTAAGCGGTCGCCGCTCGGGTTGTACACCTTCACTGAGGCCGTCGGCAATAGAACAGTTTGACAGGTGGACTGCTGACGGCTCAAAGGCTCAGTGGAGGCGGCCGTGGCGGGAGCTAGGGCGGCAGCCTCCTATCTGGAGCTGCCTCTGTCGAACCCGCACCCGAATCGGGGACCCCGAGAACGGCCCTCCGACGGCATCTCGCTGACCCTCGGCTGGAATTCCACGAACGGGCCGACCTGGGGAAATTCGGGGATCCCCGGCCCCGAGGCCCGGGACCGAAACGAGGTCTCCGGAACCCGATAATACCGGCACCGACCAAAGGGGGGCGGGCGGCGTTCCAGTCGCGGCCACTCAGCCAACGGGGGTGAGAACGGTCTAGCTGACTGCTGAGTGGCCGCGAAGCCGCTCTCAACACGCTTAGAGGGGGTGACGACCCCCCCGCCCCTGGGGGAACGACTCCGACCGGTCGGGGGAGGGACTCCCCTCAGAACAAGGGGCGCTGTGGTCAGCCGGCGAGCGCCGAGCCTCGCCCGACAGGGGGCGTGGCTGAGTGCCCCCGCCCGTGGGGGTCGGGGGGCTGGCAGGGCCCGGAGAGTATGCGCCGCGCGCACCCAGGCACAAAATGATATGGTGGTTGCCCTGGCAGTGCGTGCAGGGCCGCTGGTGCGGACAGTCTCGTTGTAAATGCCTCTCCAGGCACGAGTAGCACCAGCGGCGCTCCCTGGCGATGGTTCGCCTCGCCGAAGCCGGCTTGCGCAACAACTTAGGGCACGACGTCGCCCGGTGGTCGGATGCTCAACAATAAGAGCAGGGGGGTGCCTCCCTGGCCGCTATACCACTATAAGAGGGTAGGGGGGGCGCCTTCCCGCGGGGGCTCCGCTCGGCCTCCGGGGGGTTGGCGATGCCTTGGCCGTCGGATCCGCCTCTCCCTGGGCACCGCTCGGGCGACAGCCGGGGGTCCTCGACGGCGCCTGCTGCGTTCTCCAACTGCCTGCACTGCTCCTCCAGGAACCGCAGCAGGTCCCTAAAGGGGGGAATATACGAGGCGCCATTCCCGCCGTACCTTTCCTCAAAGTGGAGCCGAAGGTCGAGGGGCAGGCGGGACAGCACGATGTGGAGTAACTAAAAGGACCACTCGTCCACCGGTAAATCCAGCCACCGTAACGAGTTGCAAGCCACCACGACTGGATTCACGATGTCTTCCCGTAGTCTGGTCCTGTCCTTTAGCAACGGGAGGTTCAACAGCCTCCGAACGTAATCGTCAGCAATCCGCCGGACGTTGGCGTACCTTCCAGCGAGGAGGTCCCTGGCGTTTTGGTAGGCGTCGTCCGACAACTTAAGGTGGCCGACGACGCCCAGGGCCTCCCCCTCCAGTGATGCCAGGAGGTACCCCATTTTTTGGATGGGGGTCAAGTCCCTCCGGGCGTCCACCAGGCTGTCAAACAGACCGACGAAAGTCGGCCATTCCGAGAGGACCTTGGCAGGTCCAGCGTTGGGATCGTCCCAACAGCTCCGGCTGAGTGGGCGGCTTCCGAGAGGACTCGAGCAGGCCACTCAGCTGAGCTTCACGCTCCTTCTCCGTGTCCTTGGCCCCCGCCTCGATCAAATCGTCCGTGAGCGCGAGGAACTGCTCGTAGTCCGCGCGGCAGGAGTCCAGGACTCCCTTTTCCACTTCCGAGTCCTCGAGCTCAGCGTAAGCCTCCTCCACGGCAGCCCTTCGAGCATTGACCTGCTCGAGCCTCTTCCTCATGTTATAGACCCTATCCGGTCGACTTATCAAAGCATGTGCTCTGGTAGCCCAGCGCAGCTCAGTCCGCAAGCAACAACGAATCAGTAGCTTGTGTGATGGCATCACTACTAAATACAATTAATACGCGGCTCAAATATAAATCAATTAACAAATAACAAATACAGTTCCTATAAAATCAAGTTAAATAGAAATTACACAAATACGATTACCATTTATTAAATTAACTACAAGTTAGCACGAAAAAACAAATCAAATTAACAAGTAACAAACCCTAGTACGATCAACAAATTATCCGATTACGTGACAACCCTATCTACCTAGTCGAGGTACCTCGCCTTAACAAACTACGGTAAGTACTTAGCCTTAACAAACTCCCGCTTGTTCAACTTACGGGCCAACGTTACCAACGACAGCGGTACTAGTTTTAACTCCGTGCGTGACAAAAATTAATTAATAAAACAAGAAACGTCCGTTCAGATCACAAAAGTTTTACACTAACTCGAGGCGTGTCCGGTCAGCCGGCTCGAAAGGAATGTCGGCGCGGGGGGATGTGACCTCGCTACTGTGCGAAGCTATTAACGAGAGATTATAACACAATTCTCAAAATATTTAATATTGGCCTAAACAATATCATTATTTATATATTTGAATAAAATTTGGTTACTCTTGAAAACTAACCTTGTATAAAATGATGTATGTTCCATTAACGAGGTATGTATTGTGTTCTATTATTAATACTCAGCAAATGTTCCGTCAATAGGATATGTATGATATATATTATATTTCGTCATATTATATACTAATATATGTGTGTATGAACATGTTCATATCATACGGCGCGTTATCCAAATCACGAAAATTACTAATGGATGATAGTTAGTCGTATCTTGTATACCGGGACCAGGCTACCGGCACTGACAGCAGTGACGTTAGCGGTTGGTCTCGCACACAGGTAATTGCAGTACATCCCGTTGCGATCCTGCCGTGCGGCGCAGTATCCAAATCACAAAAATGAGTAATCGCTGATAGGTAGTCGTGTAGCAGAACGTGAGGTGTGGGCGGTGTTGCGCAGGTACCTGCAGCACGTGCCGGTGGCGTTCCTGTCGTGCGGCGCGGCGGGCGGCGCGCTGCAGTGCGCGTGCCGCGCCGCGCGCCTCGACCACCGCGACGCCAACTCCTCGCTCATGAAGTTCCTGTACGACCTGCTGCGCGCCGCCAACGACACGCCCACCAGCGACCAGCAGCAACAGATACAAGGTCACTCTTCACTGCCAATCACCCATTACATAGTTGTCCACTTGTACCATTTTTATTGTTAATTGATAAAAGACGTCTATAAGCCAAAACATTCAATCACCATCATGATAAACCTCTACTTATTATGCATTACCCTTACTTTTATTAAAAAACAAACCAGGAGATAGGCAGCAGCGTCTACCTAAGCTTGTATTGTCACTAATACGCCATCAGGTACACACACTAAATATTAAACTATGTTCCATTAATGTACTGTCGTGTTTTTTCCAACAATAAGATATGAAATATGTTCCATTAACCATGAAGTATGTTCCAACAACAGGGTATGAATTAATATACTTTGATGTATAGTAGCGGTTTAAGAATATCCACTACTCCATATCATCCCGTAGGTGTCATAAGAGGTGACAGAAAGAAACAAATCAAGAGATCAGCATCACCGTCTTCTTAATAATGACTAAAAACAATAAAACTACATTTGCCAACCCGCTTACCAAGCGTAGCAACTATGACAAATATCCTTCCTATGAGGCAATTTATAGGGGAGGCCTATGTTCAGCAGCGGACTTTAATAAATAGACTGTAATGGTAACGGTAACAATATTTATCTATGTTACGGAATATTTTAGTGTAATTTTCTCCAACTTGTAGACGGCCGGTGACTTGAAAATTGGCACTCGTATCAAGGACTGATGCAAATACTAAAATATCTTGATCAGGATCACCAGGATAAAATAAAAAAATCAGCTTAGGATCGATGCGTGTTGTTTAGATTTTTCTAGTCTTTTTTTATAAGAGAGGGGGCAAACGAGCATGCGGCTCACCTGATGGTAAGTGACTATCGCCGCCCATGAACAACTGCAACACCAGGGGAATCGCAGATGCATTGCCGGCCATTTAAAAAGGAGTAAGCACTTTTCTTGAAGGTCCGTAAGTCGTAACGGTCTGGAAAAATCGCTGGTGGTAATCGATTCCACCAGGAAGTTGTGCGAGGAAGTAAACATCTTCTAAATCGCACAGTGGTGGACCGCCAATCATCCAGATGGTGTGGATGGTATCGAGAGTTCCGCCGCGATGTGCGATGGTGAAATTGAGCGGCTGGAATTAGTCCGAACAATTCCTCAGAGCACTCCCCGTGGTAGATGCGATAAAATACGCAAAGAGATGCAACATCTCTACGCAGTGCCAGTAAATCAAGCCGATCGGAAAGAACTCTGTCGTCGACGATTCGAACCGCTCTGCGCTGGATGCGGTCAAGTGGAAGGGGCTGGCACTGGGGAGCCTCTGCCCAGAGATGGGAACAGTATTCCATGTGAGTCCGAACCTGCGCCTTGTAAAGTTGCAAGCGGTGTGCCGGCATGAAATACTGTCCTGCTCTGCTGAGCACACCAAGCTTTTTAGGTACTCGGCGACGTTTTCCCGAAAAATACTGGCACGGCCGTTGTATAAAGCATCACCAGTGCTGTCGTCTGCATAGCAATGAATGTTACTGGTTTGCAACATATCATTGATATGCAGAAGAAACAGCGTTGGTGATAGCACGCAGCCTTGTGGAACACCAGCGTTAATGGGCTTGTAATCTGAGCATGCACCGTCTACTACGACCTTGATGCTCCGATCTGCAAGAAAACTGGTGATCCAATTGCACAATTTCTTGGGAAGCTCATAGGAAGGCAGCTTCGAAAGAAGCGCTTTGTGCCAAACCCGATCGAAAGCCTTCGCTATATCCATACTAACGGCCAACGCCTCCCCCTTGGACTCCACCGCCTCCGCCCATCTATGAGTTAGGTAACCTAGAAGATCACCAGCTGAGTGACCTCGACGGAAACCGTACTGGCGGTCACTAATCAGCTGGTGATCCTCTAGGTACCGCATGAGCTGGCTGTTAATAATGGTTTCCATTTTTTTGGAGAATAAGGTGGTGATAGCGATGGGCCTGTAATTGGACGGATCTGAGCGGTCGCCTTTTTTAGGGATCGGGTGCACCAATGCTGTCTTCCATGAGTTCCGGACTACGCCTACGTACCGAAAAAGACGCGTTGAAACCGGTGACAACTCCGGAGCACACGTCTTCAGCACAATAGGCGGGACTCCATCAGGACCACTCGACTTGTTGACGTCCAGGGAGAGAAGTGCTTTACGCACCAAGCGCTGTGTAAATAGCACTTCCCGCATGGAGCACTCACACCGCGGGATGGTCGGTGGTGTGATCCCCCCGTCATCTAAAGTCGAGTTGGAAGCATAAAGAGAGCCTAGCAGATCGGCTTTCTCCTTTGCCTCATGGGCTAGTGAGTCGTCCACCCTGTGCAGAGATGGCAGAGATGGCTGACAGAAGTTCCCTTGGACAGCTTTGGCGAGAGACCAGAATGCACGTGTTCCCGAAGGGAGGCGAACTAGTTTCTCGCCAATTCTGCCGATGTGCTCTGACTTTGCCTTGGCAATGACATTTGAAGGACCTGGAGGCGGAATTATAATTCTTTTTAAGAACGCTGGTGTTTACATCCAGGGACGTAAACACCAGCGCTCTATTTATTTATAAGTCTATTTATTTACCACGATTTGTAGTAACTCGCTTTCGTATATGTATTTATTTATTTATTTATTCTTTTTTACATCTACCTTATAATAAGGGATATAAAGGGCGGACTTAATGCCTTGTGACATTCTCTACCAGTCAACCCTGGATGATTTGAGAAACTGTGGTAGGTGCAACACCACTCATAAATTAATAAATAAGTAAAAACATTATATCTTATAACAAAAAGCAAATAAATAAAATATTTTTAAACTATTATGTATGTTCAGGTGGAATTTGGTTATTGATTTTAAACTAACTTCCCGATGCGTTAGAGACTTGAACTTTTGAACATAGCTCAGAATCCATATGTTCCAATAATAAGATATGAAATATGTTCCATTAAGTATGACGTGTATTCCAACAATAGCGTGTGAATTAAGTTGTATTATTTATACTCAGGCGAATGTTCCGTTCCGACAGAACTGACATACACGGAAGCTAGTTATTACAAAACGTGAAATAATAATATTAGACATTCACCATCTTCTTAACATCTTTAATCCCTAATAAAATAAAACGAAGTATTTTGTCGAGCTCGAAGACTATTTTGGCAGGTCTGGCGAATGAGGCGCTGTCGATGTACGGCGAGGAGCTGACGTTCGCGCTGCTGGAAGCGGCCACGCTGCACCTGCACCAGTACATGCTGGGCGAGGTGGGCGAGGTGCTGCTGGAGCTGGCGGCGTGGCAGCGCGCGCACGGCGTGGACTGGCTGCGCGCCGCGCTCGCCCGCCTGCCGCGCGACCGCGCCGCCGCCGCCACGGAGCAGCAGTGCTGGCACTTCCACCAGTACGCCGTCAGGTGCGCACCACAATGTATCCAACCTTGTTCCATTACTGTACTGTCGTGTATGTTCCAGAAATAACATATCATATGTTTCATTAACAGTTGTGTACGTTCCAACAATAGGGGTATGAATTATGTTCCATTAATATACTATGATGTAAATGAAGTTTAATATGAATCATGTTCCACTAATAAGTTATTATTTGTGTTCCCTTATTTATGCGAAGGTACATCTTCCGTCAATAAGATATGAAGTGTTTTCTATTAATCTCCTGTTATATGCATTTTGGTGTTTACAGTGTAAAATGAAAGGATATATTTAAATTTTAACCGTAGAAAGCATGGGTTCGTTTAAAAATTATCTGATGGAAATAAATTTTTAACATAACTTTTACCAAAGCCATGATTCGTTACTATTTCAAACTATAAAATTAGAAATTATCTGTTAAGCGATTGACTTATCTGATCATTATTTGTGTCACATTAATTAACTCGAAAATGACTAATCAAGGTTGAAATAAACAATTAAAAAAAATCAATAACAATGTGTGGCCAAACTCAATCATAAAAATGTTTTTGTTTCAGGGCTGAAAAATGTAAAGAAATGACACGACTATTACGTGACTTCGCAAGACTTTATCGATAAATAAAGCCAGCCAACAACACTTTGTTAATATGTAAAGAGAAAGATTACTTATGAAAAAGCTTAAAGACTGAGTGGACACACTCCAGAAGAGCTTCCTACTGCGTAAATTAACCATGGCCTCAACTAGTACTTCAGTACGAAATACAGTGACCGATTGTAAAATAAAAACAGTAAATACTTTTTATAGGCACTTAAGTTGTTTTAAACAGTGAAATAAGTCGAAATTTACTATAGGTAAATTGATTTTAAATAAAATTTGTTTTAAAGTAAACATATTTACATGAAACTATGTATACTGACAGTATAATGTGCTACTACAGTGTGTACTCAAACTGAAATTTAAAACTATTCAAACTTATTCATGTTGAAAACTCAAAAGGGAGTAATGTTTTTTTAAGTGCTAAGTAAAGCTGAAAATAAACGAATCCCTCATATCAAAAGCAATAATGTATGTTTAAATAAAATTTATAAGAACCTAATTCTACATTTTACTTTGTATTCAATATTGCGCACAGATTAAGAATAAGCTCGAATCCGAATCTCTCCTTATAGTAATATTAAATTATTACATTAAAATTTTTTCATTGTCATTTGAAAGCTTGTGCTTACTTCTATAATCTGTGTACCTTTGATGAAAAAAAGTAATTAGAATAATGATAAAGAGTGTTGGCGGAAACTTGCGGCCAGCATGATTGACATACAGATTGCTGGTCCTCCATTATATATTATTTTTGACGTGATGTACGTCACCTTAACGTATTAAAATAAAATTTTGTCAAAAATATATAATGGAGAACCAGCAATCTATAATACGTCATTTCCTCACCCTGCGGGGTTACATTGTCATCTAAAAACTGCAATGTGATGCACCAACATATGAAATTGTGAAAAATTTAGAGAACAAATTACACGTCAGACTAGGCGCTACGGACACAAATTCTTTTGCCTTTTATAAATTAAAAATATAGATATATAAAAGTTTACTCAAAAAGTGTAGTTATACATGAATGTGGGTAAGTATGGACACTTAAGTGACGAAATATATTTTGTTAAGTACATACTCTCTTTTCTTTGAAATGTGATATAACTTGCATTGTATTGTAAATATTTATTAAAATGTTTACTTTTAAATTAACTTTTCATTTCATATCACCAGCATTTTAAGTCTACTAGCACGTCTTCTAATTTGCTTCTACTCATCATTCTGAGCAGGAATTAGTGCTACTTCAATAATTTCACAACTACCTACATTAAACATTTTTTGAAAAATAATGGCACTCAGCAAATGTTTTCACCAGCGTATCACCCTGCATATAATGGGGCAGCGGAAAATGCCGTTAAGCTGTGTAAGAAGGCAATAAAAAAGCGTATAGGGATGTTGTGGATATTGATACCACCTTACAAACCTTTTTACTAAACTATCGCAAAAGTAAGCAAAGCACTACCGGGTGAGAGCGCAGCGATGTTGCTGCAGCGACGTTCTTTGCGTTCAAGGTTGGGTTTACTTCGCTGTTAATACGTAGTGCAGGCGCGTGTGCTCGATGCTCAACAGAGTCAGGTCGTGTACCGCGTCATTTCTCTTTAGGGGACACCGTCTGGACTAGGGAATACGGCACCCGAGATAAATGGGTCAAGGACACGGTAGACCAGAAAGAAGGTTCGCGAAAAAATTTTCAACGTGGTAGAGCCATGGTGCAGCTATATTAATTGTATAGTTGTAGCGCGAATGGGTCGGATCGACCAGGAGAGGACCACGCTCTCACAAAATACCAGCTTAAAAAGCAACTTCATGCCGCTGTTTCATATGGTGAGTGTAGAGAACCGGAGACCCTTTTTACTGGAAAAGAGGCATTCAATCTTAGTCCTCACGGGTGACAACGCCTCTGCAATTTGATTCGCAAACGAGGATAGATGTAGATGTCTATGGGCCACAGCAACCACTTACCATCAGGTGGACTGTGTGCTCGCTTGTTATCCTAATTCTATTAAAAAAATGTTCTCGAAAATGGTGATGGTCGACTTATTAAAAAACACATCGATCAAATAAGACGTAGGTCGCGCCTATCCGATGTTGCCTGTTCAGATACTACTAATGAGGTCGATGAAAATGATCGAAATGGACTTGAGGATGAGTTCGCAGATGCATCTTCAGATTGCAAACGGAAGTGGCAGTTTCTGCTGGAATAGATGAAGTGAAACCAAGAAGGTTGATAGTAACGTTAACCGATTCGTTGCGGCACCAATTTTCGACAACTTTTAGCTGTGGCGGCGAACAAATATATCATGACACGCCTATTGTGCCAACAGCCATGTGTAAAAGTAATGTTCTTTTTTATGCTTTTTTTACTTGTTTAGACCTAATTAAGTTTATTTGACATCAAACATCAGTTACAAACGGAAGGATTCTTGTTTTTAGTGGGTAACTATGTGTTTTCTTTGAAATTGAGAGTAAGTGACTTTTTTTATGCAGAGATTACAAACTTTTTGTACTATTTTTTGTTTTATAAAAACATCATTTATATAAGTAGGTACAGCTAAATCACTCTGGAAAACCTTGGTTCTTATTAAATTAAATTTTCACCTAATAATAACATTTGTAAATATGAAACAATCAAGATCCTTAATTTGGAAAAAAAATAAGGTTTATGATTCATTGATATTTACAAATGTTAATAATTATTTAATGTTATACAAATGTAAAAGTAAAGTCGATCTGAAAACGTCTAATTAGTAAGAATAGCAAAACAATTGTTTTCAAAAGGAAGCAAACGCCGGCGCTATACGGCGGCGGATTGACAAAAGACTATTTATTAGCGAACTTTTCTTATGCATGAACGGTGTCAAACTGTTGCAAGCAAAAATAAACCTTATACCATATAACAAGAGCACATGGTACTTCGTAGGTCTATTCGGTCACATGATAGTAATAAGACGGCAGTTCAACCATTTTAAGCAAAATTAAACAATAAGATTTTTTTTTTTAACAGAAGACTTGTTTTCCAGAAATTTAATGAAATGAGAAATGAGTGCTATTATTTGTTACTTATTAGACTGTTTTTCAACAACATGATTGAAAACCCACAAAGTAAAAAGAGTACCATGTACAAGTTAAAAAAAGGTTGTCAACCCCTTAAATTTCAAATTTTCAAAATATTCAGAAACGAAGCCGCAGGCATAAACTACTTGCAAAATAATGAATATTTTGTTCTGGATAAATTTTCCAAAAAAGCAATTTGAGGGAGTTATAACGATTTTAAAAAAGACACGACTCACATGTCATACGCCACACACAAAAGGCACGCCTGGCGTGCCACCCGCACTGAACCGGTTAACGCCATAGCAGATACGTAATTTCCCAGCGAGATTGTACTAGACCCCGTCACTCCTCCACATCTACAGCCACCGTCGCAGACAGTGACCCGTTCCAGGCGAATCCGATGATCCGTTGTTCAATTAGAATATTAGATTAGTTGTATAATTAAGTTATAAGTTTGAATTAGTTTATAGTTTAAAATTAGTAAGAGGATGTCACTCGAGAGCCTTTCTTCCCATTGGTAGTCGGTTCTTCGAGCTATATGGCCGACCCATTGCCACTTCAGTTTACTGACGGGGCGACACTGAAAGTGTTTAGAACTGGCCACTTGTAAACGATATAATAAAAAAATAAGTTCAAATTTTAAAAATGGAACTCTGCCAATATTATGGCGTATGTATTTTATCAATTTGTCATTTTTTTACGATTTGGCGGCAAATTGAAAATTGTCTGTGTCACGTCAGCATGAACTTAACGTGAGTAAATTTTCGTACAATGATTTTTTATGACTTTCGATGTCATTTAAGTCAATAAGAAAGTTATGATAGACTTCAATTGGCCTTTCACGATAAAGCCCCATCTCGTGCCTCTGTTTACAACTGATTTAATGAGTTTAAACGTGGTCGCACTAATTTCACTGATGATCTGCGTGAGGGACGGCCTTCCACGGCGACGACTGTAGATAACATCGGTGTTGTGCGGCGTATGATAGAGACTGACAAAAGAGTGACTTATCAGCAGATTCGTACAAGCTTAGGCATCGGTATGAGTCAAGTGCACAAAATCTTCCATGAATATTTAGCGGTCAGGAAGCTTTGTACTTGGTGGATACCTCATAATTTGACAGAGGCCCAAAAACTCCGTCGTGTTGATTGGTGTCGTGAAATGGTTCAAAGATTTAATGGAGGTGACTCAAATGCTGTGTTCGACATACTTACGGATGACGAAAGCTGGATTTATTGTTATGATCCTGAAACAAAGAGGCAGTCTGCTGTCTGGGTGTTTCCTTCCGAGGAGTTACCAACTAAAGTGGAGAGGTCGAAGCGTGGGAACAAAGATGGTGGCCACGTTCTTCGAAAGGACAGGTCTTCACGCAACAATTGTTTTTAGAGGATCGAAAAACAATTACTGCAGAGTGGTACACTAACAATTGTTTGCCACTTGTCTTGGAAAAGTTCGAGAGAAACGACCTCGCAGTAGGATCCTCCTTCACCAAGACAACGCCTCGTCGCACACCGCCAAGCAAACAATCGACTACTTGGCGACGTCAGACGTGGAATTATTGGGTCACCCGGCCTATAGTCCCGACCTTGTGATTTTTATTTATTTCCGAAAACATACATACGTATATAAATTTTATTAAATGGAAACAGATATTCCAGATGCTTGTTCAATCTCTAAGGAAAAACCTATTCTTTTAAATTAGTGTGAAAACTCAATAACAAATTTAAATAGATAATTATTTATAGGCAAAGTCAAGAAAGGAACGCAAAAGTCATTTTACGTCAATATCGTCCGGTCCTGGAAGTTTTGGCGGGAACTTGACCGGCGGCGGTTTGCTGCTCCTGTAGTATAGTTTAAATAATAGTTTGAAGTGGAATTTGATATGTAAAGTGGTGCGATTTTATGTATTAACTGTCTACATGCATGTGAACTATTAGTGGAAACGGTGAAACAAGTGCTCTGA